CTACTGCTACTGCCACGGCTACTGCTACTGCGACTACGACTACGGCGACGACGACTACTACTGCTACTCCTGCTGTTGCTGCCGCTGCTGCTGCTGCTGCCGCTGCTGCTGCTGCCGGCACTGCTGCTACTGCTTCTCATGCTCCTACTCCTGCTCCGACTGCTGTTGCTAATAGCTGTTAATGCTACTCCTGCTGTTGCTGCTACTGCTGCTGCTGCTGCTCCTGCTCCTGCTCCTGCTCCTGCAACTGCTGCTGCTACTGCTAGTAGCTACTACTACTACTACTACTACTACTACTACTACTAGTACTACTACTCTACGACGACTACTACTACTACTACTACTACTACTACTACTCCTGCTGCTGCTGCTACCATTATAGTTGTACTGGTACTAGTGCTAGTACTGGTACCGGTACAACAACTGCTACTCCTACTCCTACTCCTACTCCTACTCCTACTCCTACTCCTACTCCTACTCCTACGCCTACTCCTACGCCTACTCCTACGCCTACTCCTACTACTACTACTACTACTACTACCACTACTACTACTACTACTACTACTACTACTATTACTAGTACTTTCACTGGTACTGGGCACTAGAACTGCAACTGCTACTGCGACTACCACCGCTACGACTGCTGCTGCTACTACTACTTCTGCTACAACTTCTACTACTGCTAGTACTACTACTACTACGACGACGACGACTGCTACTATTATCACTACTGCTACTACAACTGCTACTACTACTGCTTTTGCTACTACTACTACTACTACTACTACTACTACTCCTCCTGCTGCTGCTGCTACCACGACAATGCCGACGGACACATCGAATACGGAAAACACCCACTGGGCCTCCCGGCCCCAGTCACCCTGTCGAGGTGCGTGGGTGGACATCCTCCGACTTGCGACACCCTGATCCCCCCCCCTCAAAACAGGCCTAAACCCAAACCCTAAACCCTAACCTAAACCCTAAACCTTGAACCCTAAACCGCTTAAAGATCCAAACCGTCGAGCGATGGCCCTCCCAAAGAACAGGCCAGCTTCTGGCACCGGCAGCAAGTCACCGACCCAAGCAAAACCTCAATCTTGTGCTGCTGTTTCTGTGGCTGTTGAAACTGCAACTATAATCGCCACTCCTTCCCAAGAAGGTGCTCAAAGAGTCGGCCAAAGATCAAGCCCTATACTCCTGCAGCGTGGCCGGCCGGGACGTTTTCGCAACGCCCGAATGTCCTGCAGGTTGGGGTTTGGCGCTTAGCCTTATTGCCTAGCGAGTAGCCACCCAAATAATGAAAACACTTCCCGAAAAACTGCCCTGAAATCTTCCACGTCCCAAACAAGAGTAATGTAGGGGCCGTGATAATTAGAATAGGGTTTCGTGACCCTTTTTTCTGAATTTATGATAAGGAACGCCCAAAATAATGTTGGTACTTATTTGGGCCCCTTATAGTAGGAGAAACAGCAAGGGCAGAGCAACAGCAAGAGCCGAAATCCCTGCAGAATCCACCCAGAGTGATTCTGAGAGTAGAGCTACAACGGCACCGAATAGCAAACACACTTCTTCGGAATTCGAGTTTTTGTTGAGGAGGGGGGGAAGGTTGCGCTTAGTTTTAGGGCTGCTGTAGGGGTTTAACTGCAAACCTATGCTACAAGTCAGTTTCCAGGCAAGGACTGTTGAAATGAGGGGCCAAAGAAGCCTTCTAGCCAAGGGTCTAGGGCTTGAGGTTGAATCGTGTAGACTATAAATAGTCACTATTCATTGCTTCAGGATCTTCGAAGCTCCTCCCTTTTGGGCCGCATGAAGGTGGGAGTAGAAAGGTCCCTTCGGCTGTGTAGTATGCACCGGAACCCTCATGACTCGCACATTGAGGCATGCGGTTAAGTTTAGCTCCAAGTAAGAGTAGCCAGCATGAAACATGACAAAAAACACCAACGATGATGCAGAATCCTGTCAACATCACTCAGAGTCTGGAACTTCAAAGAAGAGAAACCCTAAACCCCGATTTCGGGGCCTTGATGCGAGAACAGAAATTGGTGTACAATACTCTTACTATACTTTCTATACTTAAAACTATGCTAAGGAGCCGCAACAAAATCAACGTGGTGAGCATTGGCGTCGAGGGTCAGACTCTGTGGACGTCCAGGGTTTGAGGTGGGGGTCTCTGCGAGGATCTTCGAGGAAGGGCTTAGGGGTTTAGAGGTTAGGATTTAGGGTTTAGGGTTGGGGCTTTGGTAGGTTTTAGGGGTTCATGCTCTCGCAACTCGGAGCACTTTCCATGCCCCGTAAACACTAATTACCTATCGGAGAGTTTTCAACATGGGTGGTTGCCAAAATTATGGTCCCTTGTTGGGGTCCTTATTATAATACGGCACCTAGTATTTGGGGTACCCCAAAAGGGACCATAGTTTTGACAACTACCCACATGGAACCGTTTGGCGTTTTGGAAAGCCTGGAGCTCCACAGGCCGAGAAGCAAAGATAAGCTCTAGGACTCTAGGACTCTAATGTAGGGGGCCCTAATCACTAGACTAAGGTTTTGGGGTATATTGTGCTATGATTATAATAAGGAGCCTCCCCAGAATAGTATAGGTAATTATTTGGGCCCCTATATTACGACTCTATGCTCTGCAGGCCATTGGCGTCAGAACGGAAGCGAACCCAAAATATCCTCAATTGACCTGCGGTCCTCCCATCCGGAAAATGAATCCAGTCGACGCGATCCGCAGTGCCGATGGCCTCTATGCAATGCAAGACCCTGTGAGTTTCTTGGTGTATGTGGCTCCTTCAACGACTTTGCACGGAGGCCAGGCGGTAGTGGCAGGCCAGTTTGTGGCGCCTCTGAACCCAAACAGCACAACCGACGAAGTATCCCGGGATGAATGAACAAAGCATTGCATGTCAGCGCTAGCACATTGACCACGGGCATTCAGGCTGTGTTGCTGCCTGGAGAACCTCAGACGAAGCAGAATGCGATCCCATGCCTCCAAGGGAATCTGACGTCCGTCGACACCAGCAACCAGGCTGGCCAGCGTCCAAGCCTCAAGCCGTAGACCCTTGAAAGCCGCAAGCCCCACAAATCTGAAGCCCAACACATTCCCTACACCGTCGAATCCCTAGAAGCCAGAAGCTGTGATCCGACCCCAGCATTAGCATTTCGGGTTTAGGTTATCGAGCAACGGAGCTTGAAATCCCGAACCCAAGAGCCAAAACCCGACTGAGAGGTTTCGGATGTAGTCAAAGGGTTTAGGGTTTCGGGAAGGTCCTCAAGTCTACACACAAACCCTAAACCCTAAAAGCCCTATACCCTAAACCCTAAAAGGCCTAAGCCCTACACCCAAAGCCTAAACCCTAACGCCGAAGATGTCGATGAAGAGCCTTAGCCCGCGACCTGGCCCTGCTGGCAGGTCCACAGCGACAAAGCCAGGCGCCATGGCAGCATTGGAGTTCCGCTTTAGGGTTTTTAGGACTCCTTTAAGCCTTGAAGGGTTTAGGACTCCTTGAAGGGTTCCTGTTAAAGGTTGTGATATTTGGTTGGTGTCAGTGTCTCTGCTTCAGAAAGCTTCAGAACACTGCAGTTTTTCTGGGTGAAGAAGCTTGCAGTGTGAAATCAGAGCCCCCAAAAGCACCGGAGCATAAAACTTGAAGGTACTTTCCCTTAGCAGGGGGTTGATGGTTTCATTACCTAATGCTTGTGTGCACTGATCGATCTAGTTGAGTTCCGGGCACATCAGGCTTCCATGATTCGATGCTGTCTGGACCTTACGAGCAGATTTGTGCTCAAATGTTGAGCCTGGTGGTGGATGTGTTGCCTGGTCAAAGCCTCACGGCTGATGGGATTTGTGACAGGTTTCTTGCGGTACATTTTAGCATGGCTGACCGTCTGTGCTAGCCCCGCCAGAAACCCTAACGTAGGGGCCTTAAAAGTTAGAATAGGCTTTTGGGGGTTCCTTGTTATAAGTATCTTATAATGTACCAAGTACTAAGGCCCCTATAGTAGCCCTAGACCCTGAACCCCAACCGCCCGTAAAACTTCGGACAGCAAGCGGTCTCGCTTTTTGCCGGCTCAGCCGTTGTCCGTGTCTGGGTAGGTTCCAGTGATTGAAAAACATGAATACAAAGGCACAGTGTGTATACATATATATATAT